TTTTGAAAGAGTTTCTTTTTTTTTTTTTGTATTTTCGAGAGCGGAGATTTTTGATTCCCCGAGACTCGAGATCGCTCGGTGGCAATTTCTCTTGGCGGATAAATGGCGGGGGGAGGGGAAAGGAAGGAAAAAAGAGAGGAAAAAAAAAATGGCGCGGAGAGCCACCAAAGAGAGCCGAGTTGTCGAGAGATGGTAGTAGGGTCTGGCTCGATTCGCGGCAAAAGGTGAAAGGCCTGGTATATAGGACACCGGCCGGCCAGAAACTCGTCTACGTGGTATCCTTTTCTTGACGGTACGCGTCTACAGGACGCGTTGGAAGGGAGAGGATCGCGAGGCGAGGGGATCGGGGAGCGATCTTAGCCGAACCTTTTATGGGGAAGGCGAACGACCATCGAGAAATCGGAACGCGAAATCGTTCGACTATGCTCCTCTTCTCTCTCTCTCTCTCTCTCTAAACGAGAAAAATACGAATCGATCAACAACGAATATACAATACAATGGAAAAATCCTATATAATTACGTACGAAATGTATTTCAAATTCGAAGCAAAGTAAACCGAGAGAAGGGAAATCGAAACGATTCTCCATTGGATGAGATCCAATGGATTGATTGGATGGTCGATGGGAAAGCGCGGGGAATTCGAAATGGAGCGTGGCCGACCGCTTCCTTCTCGTTTCTCGCGGGGAGAGTATCGAGGCGACGAAGTGTAGTTTGTCTAGGACGATGGCGTTTGGCGTGGCGGAAAAGATCGGCGTGGATGATGGCCGTTACAACGTTACAACCGAGCCGTCGCCACGCCGGTGCGAGCGATCTAACAGAAAAGGAACGGGAGAAACGCGCACCGTAGGAGCAATGCCCCTTGGGTCAGGGTCAGTACCCTTTGGCACAAGCCACTCGAACCGCAGCCACGCACGTACACGCACACGCGCCTCGAACTCGCGCCTCCACACACGCGTATACACACCTGTGTATACAACCATCGTCTTTCGGCACCGATAACCAAACCCCCATCCTCCTTGGACTAAGAGAATTCGCTCGCTCGTAGCGCGTCGATTTTGCGGAAATCGGACGCAACGTTTCTTTCGTTACGCACATACACACACACACACACACATATGTATACATTGTTAGAACCAGCACGAATCGTCTTGTTATGCAAACAAGCACGCCTAGATTTCGATTCTCATTCCGTCGTAGACGGCAGACGCGATCTGAAATTGTAATCGTAACGTCGTCATCCTCGTGCTGTTTCGAATTATGCCGTTCCTCCTTTTCTCTTTTTACCTAAGGCCGATCCCTTCGATGGTGTCCAGTCCAGTAAGGTACACCTGAATGGGTTACCTTGACCGGTCTAGGAATCTAACTAAAGTCTAGACTGTGTCTAGCCGAGGCGAACGTGACTATCAACTTTTCTATCGCTCTTCCCGAGCTCGTAGTCCGACCGTGTAAGCGCGAACGTGAAGGTATTTCGAGGTCTTTTTTGTTCGTACCGCGTACCAAAAATTTCTTTTTTCCTTTTTCTTTTTACGCGCGAATCGTTCCCAATCGCGGCAATTTATTTTATTATTCAATGAATGAACGATATAAAAAATACATGCACACACGTTGCACGAATTATCGTAATAATTCGAATCTAATTGTTGGATGGAATCACGCTGGAATAAATCTATGTAACGCGGTATGTAATCCTCGGTTGCCGGAATCGATAACAATCGTTTGATCGTTCAATTAAATCGGAGACGGAGGAACGAGGAGTCGTGCCGTTGGTTGACACGTGAAATTTTATACGCCGTCGCCGTATAAAAATGTAATCACGCGCTGCGCGATTGTATCGATCCGAATCAATCCGCGATGCGCGGAAAATAATATCCGTTTCGTTTCGCAAATTAAGAAAAAAAGGAAAGAAAGGAAAGAAGAAGAAGAAGAAGAAGAAGAAGAAAAATCTCGCAATAAACTCGACGACCTTTCCACCTTTCCACCGCCTTTATCTTTCTCACGATACCGTATCCGCGCATTTTAATTTTATTACCCCCTTTGGACTGGATTATCTACCCCTTCCTTCATCCTCCTCCCCCCCTCGATCGGCGCGAAACGCATAAAAGGCGCGGCGTGTATCTCGTCCGCATACCGAGGTATTTCGCCCTCCGATAACCGTCCCGATACCAATTAAAAAGCTAAGGTTTTTCGAAACTAACACAGCCCTCCCCTCCCTGCGACGGAACCGTATAATCAGGTTTAATCGCGTTAATCCCCCCTCCTGGATCCCCGGTTTCGGCCAATTAAGATGATACGTGCCCGCGCTTCGAACCTGTCCCGTTCTCTCTCTCTCTCTCTTTCTCTCTTCCTTCGAATCCACGGATCCTGCGACTCCCGCAAGGGTAAAGGATGAGGGATGGGTAATAGTCGAAAAATCGATACGTCGGTGAAAAAAATTTCCGGCAAATTGTCGGCCCCTCGTAGGCGCTAATTCTCTTACGTTAAACTTCCGAAACCGACAGATGGCCCGATTCCGATCCGGAGGCAATTAATGGGGAGCAGGTAGCGATCGCTCTACCTCTTCGTAACGAGGGATCACCTCCTCGATCTTTGAAAGAAATTCAACCGCAACCGTGAGAGAGAGGAGATCCTCGTTGCACGAAAAAATTGTTAGTGGAGTAACTCTGATCTATTCCAATTGCAAGATTATTTTTTTTTTTCTACGAAAAAGGAAGATTTGTGGAAATTGGAAATTTAACGCACGTTTTCTTTTTTTTTTTTTTGATTAGTTGAATTTGGGATTATTCTTGGGATTATCTTTTTTATGTATACATCGACGAGAAGAAAAGATGAAAGAAAAGAGGAATATGCATGCATCCTTCTGTTTAGGTTTCTTTAAAAAATTCTGGATAAGTCGATCGAGATTAAAATTTAATCAATTAAGCGTCTAACTCGAGAAGGCTACAACAAGGCTCGATCGACCAGTTGCGTTACATAGAAGAGCACGCGTCGCGTGTTCCGTGAATTGACGGTATCGATATGTACATTCCAAGAGAATCGTGCGAAGAATGGAGGGAGGAAAGGAGAGGGGGAGATAAGAGTTTCCAGAAACGTGGAAAAACTTACGTGTCCCGATAATTGTAATACAATTTATTTTTTACAAACATCCTCGAACGAAGAAGAGGAGGGGAAGGGAGAGGAGAAAAATATAATAGGATCGAGCAGAAGAATTCCAAGTATGTCGTCGTGTGGTCTCGGTTTCGGAGGTAATCGGAATAAAGGGGGTAGTTAAGAGCGGACCGGAAATAATTTCCCTCTCGATATCGTCTCTTTAACGAACCCTCGATAAATCGCAATGCTCCTTCTAAATCAACGACGATCATCGAGAGGCAATGAACCAATCAAACCTTGGACGGGGAGAGGGTTGAGAGCAAGGGTCGCGCCTTATCGCGAGAGGCAAAAGACTTGGGCGAGAGACAAAAGAGCCGTACTCGGGGACAGCCTCCAAGATGCATTTACGATTTATCCATTTTCGAGAGAAAGAAAGAGACAAGAGTCGTCGAGAACAAGTCGTCTTCTCTCTTTGGAAAATTTCTAAAGAATATATCAACACTTTCTCCAAGTTTGATATTAAATTTTTATCGACTCGCCAGCTGCGCTTTTTGCGCCTCTCCCTTCTTTCCTCTTCCTCTTCTTCTTCTTCTTCTTCTTCTTCTTCTTCTTCTTCCTCTCTCGTTGCGTAATCCAGAGAAGAAAGATGAAAACGGGTTTCTTTCTCGACGTCGACAATACGAAGTCGGAAATCTACTCGTTACTCGTTCGTTGAAGAAATACAAACGATTCAACGTTGCACTCCAGACGTCTCTCTGGAAAGAGAGAGAGAGAAAGAGAGAGAGAGAGAAAGAAGAAAAGAAATCCACCGACCAGTTAGTTTCCATTTGTCGGTCGTGATTTTGCAAAGAAGAGGGAAAAGAGAAAGAGAGAAAGAGAAAAAAGGCGAGGGAAAGAATTTCTCGAGCCGATATCCGCCCTTTGAGGAAAGATTAAACGCGATAACCGCTCCTCCTCCTCCTCCTCCTCCTCCTCGGTTAGCTCGATTCTCGCCGATAACGCTAGCAACGTCGACGACGCTTCTCCGTCTCGCGTGCCTTCTGATATTTCATTCTCCGGTTATCTTCCTATCCTTATCGGACGTCGTACTTGCCGCGTCACCCAACGCCCATCAGAGTTATCCTTGCGCGAACGCCATCTAACCTAGGAATAAAAATCGAATAGAAATAAAAGAGAGAGAGAGAGAGAGAGAGAGAGAGAGAGAGAGAGAGAGAGAGAGAGAGAAGAACGGTTCCACTCTCGAAACTTGTCCATCGAGAGGGAATGATGATAAATTTCTGGGACGAGGAAACGAAGAACCGCGGCTCCTTGACGGATAACCGCTCTTCCGTTATGCTGGCAACGTTGTGGCAAGACTATGCATCCGTCAACCTCGGGGTTACGAACCTACCTAACCGCCTCGTAATGTTCCTCTGTTCAGTCGTTGACCCACTTCTCTCTCTCTCTCTCTCTCTCTCGAAAGGAAAATTCTTTTTGAAAAGAATCTCTTCTCTTTGTTTTTTTCCTTGGAACGAATCGAAGAGCTCTCTCTCTCTCTCTCTCTCGGAAAATAGCTAGCCTCTAACTAGGCGGAATCTAGAGATTGTGCAAATACTCAGATTAAAAAGTTTTAATCGGACTTGTGGCGGCCGGTCCATGAATCTCTTGAAACTTTGCGACCGAACTCCCACACGATTACGTGTTCGTAGAAAACGCGAACTCGGCCGACCGGTTTTTGGTTGCTTCATACGTTTCACCGATGAATACATATATATATGTATGTGTATGTATCTATATAACACGTTTAAGGGGGGAGGGAGGTGGAGAGAAGTCGATGCTTTTGGAATTATTAATAGAGTTAATAGGGGGAGCGGATGTTTCACATTCCTCTTTTTTTTTTTTTTTTTTTTTTTTTTTCCTTCTTCTCGTTTCAGCTGGTAAACGGCCTCGATAGACCAAGGTACGTTTGCGAGACCGAAGTCATGGAGGAGGTGAACGTGGCAACCGCCACCCCCGTCGAGTACACGCCTCCTGGGAATACGAATAAAAATGCGAATGGGAACATCATCACCCTCACCTTAAAAAACAACCATCTTATCGTAGAGACGGAGGAGCGAGCGGTAAGTACTCGAATACTCGCCATTCTGTATGTATAACGGAGGAGTAATTCTTCTCTGCAAACATCCATCCTTCGCAGGAGTATCGCCCGCGTCACGATCGGATCCGCTCTCGTTTTTCTTTCTCTCATCGTTGAATCATCTGATTCAGATATTTATCGGATGGAATATTTGTCGAAAGGACGCAAAGTGAAAATTTCGTTTAATCGTTGCTCGGAACGGTTGTCCCGAAATATAGAAAGGCACATAGAAAGAGGCACCTAGGAAAAGGATCCTATCGCGTGAGGTATCAAGATCGATACGATATTCTCTCGATCCTCGTTGACGAGGCACTTCGTGAAATCGATCCACGAGATTCGTGCGGCCCCTCTTTGACAGGGATAACAGGTTCGCAATTATCGCGCGGCCCCTGTAAGGTCGAAGGTTACCAGGCAATTTCGCCTCCACCTACCATCGCCGTCCTACTTACGGAGACTCAGAGACTTATCCTCGTGGAAGCTCATCTCGTCAGGGGAGGGGGATTTCGGAGTGGCTCCACTCCCTTCTCTCCCTCCACCCCAAATTTCATCGAAATTTTTGCGAGACAATCCGCAGGAACAGGAGGGAGGCTCGCTCGCAATAACGCTTGGGGGTGGGGACCTGTTGCGATTTAATTCCATTTCAGAGAAAAGAAATTTCCACGCGCCTTCCCCTCAAGCTTTAGCAGCTTCTTTCATTCACCACCCTCCTCTCTTCTTTCATCCTTCACGCGAATTTTCGCACGGCGACAATGTGCGCAACAACGCACCCCAAAACGAAACCGATCGAACAAGGAAAGGGCGTGGATCCGTGAACGGATCTCCTAAATCCTGAATAGGAGAGCGAATGCACCGTCAATCCTTCCGTTAATCAAGGATAAATGAAACGATGAGAAACGACCTCGAGAGAAACGGAACGGATGCAATAGAATTTCCTCCATCCGGTGTTTCCGCCACGGTTGTGTTTAAGCGACACGGTTATCGGGCCGGATATCGGTGGAAAGAATGGGGTGGAGGATTATCACTGGGGGAGGAGGTGGCAGCTACGATAAACGATGGTGGACAACCGGTTTCCAATGGAAGAATTTCGAGTTGGAAACAGTAAGCTGATCTGGTGGCGAACAAGTTTGGGGTTGACAGTAGAAGCTGTGAGAGGGAGGGGGAAGGGGGATGTCTATTGTCGAGGCTAGCGCTCCAAGAATCGATACGATATCGTTTCCAACGATATCGGCTTTGCTGCCTCGACAAAGGTAGTGAAAAAAGGGGAAAAAAAAGAAAAAAGAAAAAAGGAGGAAACGCTAGGCCGAAGCAAACGAATCTGTCGGGCACGTTGTGTCGGTTATTTCAACGACGACAAGCGTCTTAGCGCGCTTCCTCTTTAAAGGAATGCAAAAAGCGCGCGATCCGCTTTGTTCCGGATAAGGGGTGGATGCTCGGGATGCTTGGACGTAATACTTGGCTCGTGGCCAAGCTGCGGTGTTCACCCCGGGTCGCGTGGAATACCCTCGCAATTCGAGAAATACACTATCGAGCCACTAAGCGTGCTTCTTTCTCTTTCGTTTCCTTTTTTTCTTCTTTTCTTTTCTTTTTTTTTCTTTTGAACCAAGTGCGCCATCGCTCGTGAAAACTTTCGATTCAGTTCGTTCGTTCGTTCGCCTTTCCTTTCCCTTTTGCAGTAGAGGAAGATTGATCCTATGGAAATAGAAATTATTTCTTTGTATATACGTTGAAAAAAATATTTTGCAGATATTTCACACGGGTATAGGTTAAAAAGGAAAGAGAACAAGGTTCGCGTGTTTTTCTTCTTTCATACACGCACATTCGAGAGCAAGGAAAATTCTTTTCTATCACGTGTTCTTCTTCCTTTCGAAATTCCTTCTTCGACTTGATAACTGATAACGCCAATCGCGCTTTTTGAAGAATGCAACTGTGTTGCTATTTATAAAATTCGCGCGACAAATTAGATGTCGCATAAAGATACTTTGGCGCACAAAGATACTTTGCACAGTTTTCAGAAAGGCGCAATCGCGTCTGAAGGCGTAGGCCGTGAATTCGAGATATTGGGAGAAGAAGTGGTTTTATCGAACGAATACTTTCATCGAGAACAAACTTTCATTGATTGAAACAAGAGTGACGGATTCGTTTCGATTAAAAACGTTCGATCTCGTTTGAAGGATATATATATATATATAAAGAAAAGAGAGAAAAAAAGAAATTTGGGTTATAAAAGGTTGTTAACTAGTGAACGAGTATAAATAACGAGGCTAGAAGGGGCACGAACTACGCGTCATCCGTTTACTAGAGCATCCGGGATCAGTAACGCGTGATCGGTAATCTCGCACCCTGTTATGCATCGATTAATTTATTACGCGGAAGATTAAATTCTCGGCGAACCCCTTCTGATCCCTATACGGAGGAGCAAACATTTTTATACGACGATACGTATAATATCATCCAGATATTCCTTTACTCTGTCCCCTTCAACAATCTCTTCTCCTCCAACAAATCTTCCTTTCCTTTTCAGATTTGCATTTCAATTTCAATGCCTTCAGCCGGCCGTCCCTCCATCCGGTTTCTCGAATAAACAGGAATTTCGTACGAGCTATTACGTTTCGTCGATGGATCGTGAAGTTCAATGTTTAATAATCGGAAGGGCCGAGAGCAAGGCCAGGGTTGTTCCCTGCTCGAGGATTCACCATTCGAGGAGAGAGACACAATTACCCTCGATAAAGAGAGAGAGAGGTTCCCTCAAGATGACTCTTTTCCCCAAATTTCGAAGCTTTTAAAGCGGAACGAATGGTCGACCCATTTTCCTTTTCGAGCGGCACACCCCCTTCTCGCCCCCCTCGAACACTTCACCCACAGTCTTGACGGTTTTCTCTCTTATCTACGTCTCTGGTGGACGATTCTTTTCGCTCGATCTATCGTGCCACAATTTTCGGGGCCACGGTTCGTCGAGGGGTCGTGGAAAAAACTACGAGACTCTACGACGCCTTTGGGAGTCGATTTTCTCGAGGAGAAGCGAGAAATAGAAGCCACTTTGCCTCTGCTGTCCTTTACACTCTTTGTCCCTTTCGAAAAACAGGGAACAGGCTAAAAAGGTGGTTATCGGCTCCCTCCTTTCTCTTTTCTTTTCTTTTTTTTTTTTTTCCTTTGCCCCAAACTCTTGACACAAGTTTCTGGACGAACGAACGCCGCAAGCTAGATGCCACAAACGATTCGACGTTGCTAAAAGGCTTTTTGCCCCTTTGCTACTTCACCTTTTAAATTAACCGTCTCGAGGATCTAGAGATCCGAAGAGGGATCCATCTTAGCAGATTATATAGGGTAGTTAGATGAGTTAGACATACAACCTCTCTCTCTCTTTCTTTCTCTCTCGGTGATTAGAATTTATCAGGGGATCGGAGTTCTGCTCGAAACCGCGAAATCAAACGCGTCTCATTCGATTTCAAATGGCAACCCCGTTTCGACGAGACGCGCGAAAGTTTATCGATCGCGAAGCGCCGAGTAAGAAAAGTTTGTCACGATAGAAAAGTGGAAGTCGTTTCTGATTATCGATTTCTAAAACGATTCGCGAAAAGAAGTGGAAAAGAAGAAAAGATTCGAGTGGCTCGAAGAAATAAGAGCAATATAATTTTGTTTGAAAAATCTTTTAAAAATTTTATTCAATCTCCTATAATTCCAAAGATTAAGACTCTTCACTTCTTCATTTCAAACTTGTACAATATTTGAAATGATACGATCAAATAATCAGATCCATTATTAATTTGAAAAGTGAAAAGTCGCGATATTCAAAAAGATCAGATTCTCGTGAGAAACACTTAATTAGAATTTGAAAGGGAAGATTTCCAGCGCTCGAGACGTTCGATAAATTCGATTTCTTGACGCGTTCTTGACGGTTGCTTCTAAGAATTGCGCTCCCTTCTCGATAATTCGGAACCGCGTGGGCCAGGAGAGCAGGAGCGAGGGTGGAAACAATAGCGAGAACTAATTCTGCGGTCCGTCGACCTCGAGTAACTTCCATCGCGGTCGAATTTATACACGACCCGTGGCAACTGGTAAACTGGAAGCATCGGCTACGAAATTCATAGGGTGGAAATTAATTTGCCGGTCTCTCGACGCATCGATCCTCCCTTGCACGCGTGTTCAACGACCCTCTTGCACAGAGAATATAATAATTGTTCTTTTTTCCTTTTGTCGTCGAGTAACGATACAATATTGGAGAACGTCTAATCAAATTGGATCAAATAGAATGGAAATCGATCTCGAACTCTTCGCGAGGAATCGTTTAAGATTTCCTCATCTTCTTCCCCCCCGCTGTCGCCTCGACTAGACAACCGAAGGGGGAAAAGAGCTGATGATGCATCGAGCTCGTAATTGCGGGACGCTTTGAACCGTACAGCCTGATTGCGTTGCATCGTTGAAATGGCAGCGAGGGGTCGAGAGGTGAGAGAGGCGAGTTGCGAAACGAACCTCCCTAATGACACCATCATTCGTCAAACGATCAGTCTTATTTCTCCCTCCCGTTTCTCTCGCCCTGGTAACCGACTCCACCGTCTTGATTAATACCTCTCCTCCTCTCGTTCACGCGCTTGGTTATCCAGCCAATCGTCGAAAAAGGAGAATAATCCTCGATCGTTTTTTTTTTCTTTTAATTCTCGATGCTCTCGTTGTTTCCAGGTGACGATGGAGGATAATAAGAATCGCAGGTACCAGGACAACGGGTGCTCGTTCGTGGTCGAGGTGCAACCGAGCTATCAGAACGGGGAGACGGAGGCCAACAAGGGATCCACCGTGGACGACGTGGCAGCCGATCAGCAAGCTCTGGTCCACAGGGAGGAAATCGGCGAGGATCGAACGTCGGGTAAGTTTCATTTCTCGTGAATGGTGACGTTAAACGATAGAACGGAAAGGAAAGGAAAAAAGAATGGATTCATCGCGACAGGTTTCGAAAACACGAGGCTGTTCGGGAGCACGAACACGGGATTGTCGCAGTCGGATCTCTCGATCTCTAGCCAAGGCTCGGTCAATCCCAGCTATCGTTACGGGAATCAAATGGAGTACGACTCCGGCCACTTGGGTTACCCTATGTACGGGGGTAGTTACGAGTCGGACACGTTGTCCCGCAAGTTGGAGGGTGGCTCCAAGTGGGTGGAATTCGACAAGTCGCCGGACACGGAGAAGACGTTGCCGTCGAAAACGACGCGCAGCAACGTGGAGGCGACGAAGGACGGCGAGGAGAGCAGCGTAAGTAATCGATTTCGAGAGGGGGGAAAAAAGAGAAAAGATCGTTTCTAGCGATGTTGTTGTTTCGAAAGAGAAACGAGACTTTGTATACATTTCAGCCGTCGATGACCGGGAAACAGAACAATCTGGACGTTTCCCAGGGGTCGGGAGGCTCGATGGACCAACAGGATTCGACGGACGCGAGCATTTCCACGGACACGGTTCGCTCGAATCCGAATCTCCAAGTGAACGGCGCGACACCGAGTAAAACGCAGCAGCAGAGAGCTGCGAGCAACGAGGTCGCAGGGAGGGCGGAGGCGAATAAACCCGTGATAACGGGAGCGTTGCTCAAGGACGATATCCAGGAGGACACTTTTCAGGAACAGCAGAGGAAATTGGGTAACGGCACTCTCACCCCTGAGCACAAGGATGGCGAAAGGATGGGGAAGAATCAGAAGGCCGAGACAGGGATCTTCGTGCCGAGTCATAAACGGAGCGGAAGCATCCCCCCCCGATTGATCGAGGAAAGCCTGGAATTGGAGTTGGAGCCGAAGAAATCGTTGGACATTTACAGCCAGATCAAGACAAGCACGAAAAGCATACTTCCAGGATTGAGCCCCAAGTTCGAGCTTCTTCAGAACGAAGTGAGCCCCATCGAGGAGAAGGAAAGTTAATGGGGATGGATTCTTCTTCACGGTTCAACACGGTTCAACATTTTCAATTTCGAGGCACGATTTGATCTCGTTTCGAGAACCGTGAATATAAGAAGAGATAATCGCGCTGCGGAACGATTTTCTACGAAAAATTTTGAACAGTTTCAGGGGGTTTCTCCCCCTCCCATCATTTACCCTCGCTCTCCCCTCGAATACTCGCACACAGAGCGAAAATCAAAATTAGACCACGAGTCGCGAGTCTTTCGCGAATGGGAAGAAGAGGGACCCCCATCCTCCCCCCCTCCTAATCGAGAACGATTTTTATCTAACGAAAAATTCGAAGAAGAAAAAAGAAAAGCTCATTGTAGATATCTCATCAATTTCGACAGATTTACAAGTCTTTTCGAAAGAAGAGACGACTCTCCAGCGAGGGGGATACAATCCCCCCACCCGTTCCGTAATCGCGTAAACGAAACGAAACCGAACTAAACTAAGCTAAACTCGAACGTCGCTCGAAGAACTCTTCAAAGAGACGACGAGAAGAGGAGCGATTGAAAAGAAGAAGAAGAAGAAGAAGAAGAAGAAGAAAAAAGAAGGCTGTCAGAATTTTCCTCTGATAAAAAAATCACCAGCGGGTGGAAAGTTGACCAGGTTGAAATTGGTCGTATCCAAGGGGACGTAGTAAACCGTAGCTTGGATTCGAGCCGAGCTTGTATCCCGTTAACGACTCTAATTCCCTTCCTCCTCCTCCTCCTCCTTCGACTGCCTCTCCCTCTCCCCCTTGGATAAATTCGCCAAAGCGAGGAGATCCACGGGGAACAATCGTCGACTAACGAACTCGACGCGCCGTCCTCCTGTGTCCGAGCAGCGACGCACACCGCAATCGAATCACGGGGGGAGGGGAGGAGGGTTGTCGAGAGAAGATGATAGTCCGCATTTTAGTCGAAAGTGAACGAGATTCTTTGCGCATAAAATTGGTTTTTTTTGGAAACGAGGGAAACGGGGAGGGAAGGGGAGAGAAGAAAGAAAGACGAAGCTTGGGATGTTTCGATTTCCCTCCCTCCCTTCCTCCCCCATGCAATTCGTTCGAACACTTTCGAACATTGAAGAAGATTTGATTGAAGAAGATTCTTCGAGCGTACGCCTCTTTGTACAACTGTCCATCTATCTATCTGTCTGTCTGTCTATCCGCGCCACGAGGGATATTATACCGTACGTGTATTACGTATACACACGCGTATCGAATTTTTGTAAATGATTGATGGCGAAGGAGATCGTATCCCGGATAAACGATGTTTTAAAAAAAAAAAAAAAAAAANAAAAAAAAAAGAAAAAACGAATCAGAATTTGCTAAGAAATTTTCTATTGCGCGAGGAGAGAAAATAAGCACAGAGAGATAGGAGGGGATAATTAAGCGTCGTAATCGTATGGAACGTTTTATTATTGAACGCGTCCATGGATAACAAAGTAAGTAAGAGTCTCTCTCTCGAACCGGCTCTCCATGACGGGATCTTTTTATCTTAGAAGAATAATTCAAGATGGACGATGGATGAATGGATCCGTAAAAAAAAAATCATATATATATATATATATACATATAGTTAAATCAAACGCGATGAGCAAGTCGGGCAGAGAGGCTTAAGATTAACGTTACGTGGATTCTAGTGCCAAAATAGTTCCTTAAGGAGGTTTCTTCGAGGGCAACTCGACGAACGTATTTGCCGAAACTATAAACGATACTATACTCGATGATTCTCATTATTATTATTATTATTATTATTATTATTATCGTCATAATTATTATTATTATTATTACTTGTACGTTTCGATGCAAATGCTGCGTTACCAATATTTCAAATTTTATAACGCTTCCGTTAACGTTAATAATGCGAACGAAGTTGTTGTTGATTGATATTGGTGCTATCGCGTATGGATCTACATGAGGGGAGGGGAGGGATCGAATATATTCCTCTTTGAATTCGTTCAGCCTCCTCGTTAATCGCGATCAGATGAGAGAATCTTCCTCTCCCCTTTCCCCCGATTGTAATTTTCCAAATAGAAGAAGAAGAAGAAGAAGAAGAAGAAGAAGAAGAATTCCTTTTTTTGGAGGCGGTACGTAAACGCTCGCGTTTTTTTTTTAACACACTCGACCAATTAATTGAAAACGAAACGGGACTCGAATTTGCAAAAATTTTTCGAGATTAGTTGGAAGGTTTCACGAGGAACGAGGAATCGCTTTCGAAACAAGAGACGAGAAACAAGCAAACCCGTTCGACCAACAGACACAATTCCTCGCCTCCTCGTTCAATTGCCATTGTCGAGCTCGAGCCGATAAATTGCCATTGCACATTGCGATGAAAAAAGAAAAAAAAGAAAGAGAGAGAGAGAGAAAAAAGAAAAAACAACAAACCCTTGCCGAGGAAGGCAATTATTCACCACGTCCGCGTAAAGATAATAGAGCGTAGCTACATCTATCTAGCGATTAAGTATCGTACGTAAAAAAAAAAAAAAAAGAAAAAGAGAAGAAAAAAAGAGAGAGAAGAAAAAAAAAGAATCTTAGCCATACCCACGCATAAATAAAACGGAATCGATTCATTTTTCGACTCATTACGTACTCCTACGTCTCTCCCGCTTTCTAACGAGTAAATCTAGTTTCCAGATTTAGTTTCTCGTGTGATTGTTACTACTACTATTACTACTACTATTAGTACTACTACTACTACTGCTACTACTACTACTACTACTACTATTACTACTACTAGGTGGTATTAGAGGTCTAACTCTGTGGACAAGTGTAAATTTTATATAAGACCTGAATGTCTTGCGTATTTCTAGAAATATTCTCACCACACCGTAGCTATGTCCGATGCCGATCGTTCTCGATCCCGATTTCTAAAAACATAACGCGAAACAACGTTCGAAAAAAGACATTGGTGCGTGTAACGTTTCGAGATCGATCAAGACGCACACTTCACTTCCACAAGAAGGGGGAAAAAGAAAAGAAAAGAAAAGAAAAGAGAAGAAAAAAAAAAGAAAGAAATCATTCTCCATTCTTTAACGCTCTGGTATTCTATCGCGCATCATCGGTTCGTAAAGGACATAATTTAGAGATAAATTACTTGTAGAGACTCGTCGAAGTAAGAGTTAATTAAAGATTAAACGCGGATCCCTCCCCGGGGATCTCGACACACAACCGTTCCATATGATCAATTATAAATTCGAATCGTAGTTAATTAAGCGAGTGGCAGAGAGAGAAAGAGAGAATGAGAGAGAGAGAGAGAGAGAGAGAGAGAAAGAACTTGAGCTTGAACGATATCGAGCTTTCGATCATGGATCAAATTTCTTTTCTCGTTTCGCATAATAATAATAATAATAATTTTTCGTGCATCCCCCCCCCCCCCCCATCAATTTCGGTTTTTCCTCTCGCGACCTTTCCTCCTCTCCCCTCCCCCCTCGAGGGATTGGATCGGAACGAATCGAAAGTAAGTTTCACATCACGTCCATTTGTCGTGCTGCATAAATACCTATCTTGTAATTGCTGAAGGCGCACCGCGTAAATCTTTTTAGAAAAAAAAGGACGTGTGGACATTCATTTTTCGCTAAAATACCACGTTGTATATGTCAATTTATTTTGCAAAATAAAACAACTATTGGACACGAATCCCATGTATGTATGATGTCGATGATCGTCAATCATTCCAGTTGAAACGTTTTCGCTCCTAACATTTTCCATCCGCGTTTTTTTCTCGAATTCTCGAGAAGGAAGGATATCCCCGTGATCCTCCGCGATTAACCGCGGAGGATAACGCGCGCATCGCGTCGGTAACACGTCGGGTTTTATTTAACCCGAGGGTCAATCTCGGTCGGAAACAACACCATCCCCTCGGAGGGAGCGAAACCGGTGGTGGTAGCAGCCGAGCTCGTCGGTTCTTCTTCCGCCACGATCGAGAAGGGGGGTCGAATCTGTTTTACTCGCCGCTCTCCACCCTCGAGCGCGATGCTCCCCGTTGCGCCACCTGGCGACGGAATGCCCCGAGGGGGGGTAAAATCGCACCGCCTCGACTGATAAAAACGGGTTTCCTCGAGTGGAGCGGGGTGGTGCGGGGCGCGGAGGTGGAAAATGGCGGCGAGGGTGGCGGCGCCAACGGTGAATCCGGCGAGACGCGAAATATCACTGAATTATACATGCGCGTTTTTAATTCGGTAATCAATAGTAAAAACCGCTAATATATCCCCACCATTTTTCCGCTATTTAGAATTCACCAATGCCCATCTGCCGACAACCCTTTCCGATCGCGCGTGGGAGGAGCCGCCAAATACTGCGTCTCTATTCTCGCGGTCGATCGAGGGATCTCGATTTTTTTTTTCTTTTTTCTTCTTTCCTTTTTTTTTTTTTTTTTTTTTTTTTTTTTTTTTTTTTTCCCTTTAACGCGTCAAACGAACGCGAGATTAAAACGAACGAGACGAGAAACTCGAACGATTGGAAATCTTCCGTTACCGTTCTGTTATCGTGTAAACGTGAGACGCTTTCTTTTCTCTCTCTCTCTCTCTCTCTTTTTTTTTTTTAATCTTAAACCTTAGGAGAAGGTTTACTTATTAAAATTTCGAGAAGTCGTATATATATATATATATATATATATATATACTCGTTCGTATCGTTCGCGTGGAAATTGAAAATTCGTTTCGAGGACAAGGGTTTTCGCTCGACGCATCGACGATGATCGTTTATTCGATAATTTTCGTCCAATTATCCTCGCGAAAGGCACGCGAAGCGAGCAAGTAGTACCCGAAGACACGCACGTATATAACCGTAATTGGCGTTTATTAAAGACGATCGGTAAAAAAAACACGGGGCAGGTGATCGGAACTTGAAAAAAGAACAGTCTCGTTGAAATTGAATCCATCCAATTCTCGAGAATTCTCGATTTTTCACAAATTTCCCTCTCGCCAAGGAAAAAAATAGGGAAGATCTCGTCTCGTAGGTTTGGGGGGTGGGGAGGGTTGCAGAGTCGGGCGTGTGCTCGAGGGGGAAAAAAATTCGGCCCGCGCAACGAATTCGATGACGGTCCCGGCCGACGAACTCGGCGACGAACTTTCACACCATCACCCGTCCCACCATCCGCCACCAGGAAGGCGGCTGACGCAGGCCGCGCGAATCGAGCGAAGCGGGACTGCCCACCGACGCACGGCACCGCGCTCTTGGCCAATTATTTTTACCCGTGGAATCGAATTATCGGGCGCGGCGATTAACGCGGATTTAATCGCACCACTCGTGTCGTCCTTTCGCGGCCGAGCGAAGGAGGATGGACAGAAGGGTGGCTAGTGGGGCTAGTGGCGCGAGGGGGTGGCGGGCAGGGGGATATAGGAGATAGAAAATAGAAGGAAAAAGGGGGTGGCGTAGGGCGGGGGCGCGATAGTCTACGCGTGGGTGACAAGAGCGCGTGGCTAAACAGGAGAGAGGAGGGGGGGCGGGAGGGCGGAGGGTTAAGGGTGAGCGGGACAGCGGGATTCAGGCGAGGGGGGGGGGGGGAGGCGGACGGACGGACGGACGAACGGACGGACGCGGGCCAGATATCGCGTGCAACGTGAGAGAAAGAAAGGGAAAGAAGAGAGGGTGGACGACGGGGGACGGAGGGAGGGAGGGAGGGAGGGGGGGGGGCGGGTGCGCTTGAGCGTCGGTACAGATACGGCATTATGAAAACACGAATGTACTTTTAAATCAATACCACCATCGCATTGTAGGGAGTACCGGTGGTGGGGGCGGCACGCTCGCATCCCGGAATACGGGAGAGAAGAGAGAAGAGAGAGAGAGAGAGGGAAGGAGGAGAGGGAAAAGGGAAAGAGAAGTGGAAGAAGGAGGAGGAGGAGGAAGAAGGTCGGTGGCGCTGCCGCGGGAATCGCGGGAGTGGAGCGCGAGGGTGGTGTGATAAAAGGATAGGCACGAGGGTGGTGTGGGAGGCATAGGTGGCACCCAACCCGCGACGGAGAAACGATTCAGCGACGGGTGAAAAGTATATACGAGCGGTTGGTTTACGTGGCGGCGGCCGATGCTCGGCCTTCGTTGAGTAACGGCTCGTTGTTGTTGCTCGCTTGGAACGGGGAGGAGAGAGAGAGAGAGAGAGAGAGAGAGAGAGAGAGGACGATGCCTTTTGACGAGAGCAGAGATCGTCCGTCCTCGAAGAGGAGGATTCTTCGGAGTAGATGGTGACGCTGCGGGACGTGGCTCGCCCGTTAAGTTAATCGCCGTTCGATTCGCCCGCCAAACCGCATCCCCGCCGGAGAGATCCTTGGCCGGAGCCAAGCGAAACGGGAAACAAGAGACGTTTAGAGATCCCCCATCGATCGTGTTTTCCCCGTTGAAAACGAACGAAATTGGGACGAGTGGAGGAGATAGGGAACTCGGCGGCAAGCGCTCGAAATCGATTTAATTCGGTCAGCTGGATTTTGATCGATGCGCGACAGAGAAAGTATCGGGGGATTATTAAAAAATAGACGAGAAAAAAAATGGGATAAAAAACAGAGGGTGAATAAAACCAGGGAGGGGGAGGAGAAGAGAGAGAGAGAGAGAGAGAGAGAGAGAGGAAAAAAAAAAGCAGAGCGACGAAGGTTGCTTCCCACGCGATGGTACACGGGCAAACGCGAACAAATTGGCAGAGAGGAATATTTATTTTCAATAATATCGATGTCGCGATTCTCGATGTACATTTCGTAACCGTTTTAATACATCAGCGACCGGCCAATTTATACGCGACGCGAAATTAGAGTTTACGTTAATTATTTTAATTGGTTTTGCTAATTAAGCACGACCATTACGTAGAACCGGACAATGGTCACAAAACGGACGTATTATTTGCTAAACACATTATCGTTGTCGATTGGCACGTCGGAGCGGACGAGGTTTGTCAACCGACCGGTCGATCATCACCCATCATCGGTCTCATCGCGCGCTCATAATTACGCTGATTAGACGACGATCTATCCATCTATCCTCTTCACGAAGACAGTCGTGGACAGTCTTCCCATTGACTAGACTCGCCTCTAGCCGAACGAAGCTAGAACGAGTGGCAAACAAGGAGAATCGAGACGTCGTTCCTAACGACACCCTCGATCGAGAGATCGAGAACGACGGAGAGAAAGAGAGAAAGAGAGAGAGAGAGAGAGAAAGTACACCCGCCCTTCCGCCCGACGAGATCGACCCTTGTTTACAAACACGCAAGGTCGCCGATCTTGGAGGGGAGGGGGTACGAAATAATCCCCGTCGGGGTGTCCCATCCCTTTGGCCTCCAAATTCCTTGGCCGTCCGATCCGTGTCGACCCGGGTGCGTTGCTGGTTTTCCGATATACCCAGGACGGTGATGATGCGACGACCCCATCGTTCATCGCGCCCGGCTTCTTATCCGACCACGTTACCGGTGGTGCGCGCTCGTCTTCGTGGCGGTAAACACACGGCCGGCCGGCCAGTCAGCCAGCCAGCCAGTCAGCCAGCCAGCCAGCCCCACGGACACACAGCCCCGCTGCATGGACAACCGCACACGCCCCGTACACACGGCCGCACGTGGAAAGGATGATGAAAGCGTGCTCGGCCACCTGTATGCTTTAACCGTGGATCGAACCTTACCTGTTACTCGTCCGGCGCACCGAGGCGGTAGTCGGCCCGAGGCCCTCGACCGGGGATTTCCGTTTCCGGTTAAAGACACCACTTACCCCGATTATTCTCTCCTCCGTTTCGATGGACGGACGGACGGTTGGATGGATGGATGGATGGATGGATCCCGTTCCTGGAAACTCGGGATTCTATCGCGCGATTTGCAGTTGTTGTTTCGAGAGAAGAGGATAGAAGGGGAGGGAGGGAGGGAGGGTTTATTCGAATTCGACGACCGAGTATCGGTCGGCGAGAACTTTGGGGTGAAAAGAAGGAGGAAAAGGAGGAGGAGGAGGGAGGAAGTAGGAGGAGAAAGTATTTCCGGATGGAACGAAGCAATTTGACTAACAAATCGGATCACCGACGACGTGCCGATGGGAAACGTTTCGATTTAACGAATGGCTCGCCGTTACGCGGAGGGGTAGGGGGGTACAACAGGTACACCGATTATCCTTTCCGTTTCGCGGCCCCGGAATCGAGGCGGCTTGTTCTCGCTTCGATCGCGTGTATGCAATAATATTTCGCGTTATACGCACCGCGGCTACAGCGGGATTAAATCCGCCGCCCGTGGTCGCTTGCAAACGGATTTTAACGAAATTCCACGGCGAGAGCGACGCGGTGAGAAAGGGAAAAAAAAAAAAAATAAAAATAAAAAAAGTAAAAAGAGTAAAAAAAATAAAAAAAAATAAAAAAAATAAAGAGCAACGCGCGCGGAGGAGAAATGAAGCAAGGAAGAAAAAAAAGCGGCGCCGAACGAGAAGAGGACGGAGAAAAAAGAGAGAGAGAGAGAGAGAGAGAGAGATGCGACGACGATCGAGAGAAAGTGTATCGATACGGAACTGCTATTTCGAGGCGGTTTTCAGTGTTCGAGGGACGCGGTTGCTGATGAGGGTGGCGGTGTTCCTAGCGGGGTCCCCGGGCACGTGGTGCTACTATTGATTTTAATTTTAGTGAAAGAGGTGGAAAAATTAGAAGGGTGGCAC